GGGGGGGGGGGGGGGAGTTTGAATCTGAAGAGGATAGTAGATACCCACTTGCTGCTATGAATGAGATGTATTCTCGTTTCTTGCAATGTCTTTTTTTCTCTGTTTGATCCGTAGCTATTATTAGCTTGCCGATCTCATTTGATCTCAGGGACTGAGAATTGTGTATTCATCATTTGGATGTTAAGTTTCCTGTGTAAATCTTGAGTAGCACTAGTTCCACATATACTTTTATCTGCTTTTACCATTGCTTTAGGCATCTGATAGCGTTTTTTGATAATTAATAAAGAATTTTATTAATTAAATAAAAAGGACTAAGTTAGTGCCAAAAACATAGTTACAAGTTCTGGAAATTTCCAATTATATCTAACAAGGCATTCACATCCTTTACCCAGACGAGGTTCCCTAACAAACATGTGAGCAATTATTGACAAAGTTTGATAACTCTTATTTTGTGTGTGACTATTGTATTAGATGGAGTTGGTGCATGAATTAATGTTCATTTTAGTTAGAGACTGGTGAAATTTATTAAATAAAATTGAAGTCAAAAGCTAAATTACAATGCAAAAGAGTTACTAAAGAAAGATTTTTTTTTGGGGTGGGTGGGGGTTGGGGATTTGGGGGGGGGGGGGGGGGTTCGATGGGAGCCACAAGGTATCTCATGACAAGGTATAATTTACACCAAAGAGAGTTTATTTTGCCAGTAAGGTAAATTAGTTTGCTGCAATTAGTTTGGCACGTAACACCATTGAATTAATGTATATTCTGAAAGTCTTCTCGGGGAGCTCAAATAAGGTGCCTTTAGTCCCCTTAAAGCTGGTACCCATATCTAGAATGGTTTATTCTTTAATAGGATTATCCACAAATTTTGCTATTGACGGGTTATTCTGGCCGAGTTAGTTTTTTGGGATTAGGCATGATTTACAATGGAACTAATCTTGTATTGTGATTATGCCCTTGGCTATGATTCTGATGCAACTTTTGTTGTTTGACAAGATGAGATTACGGTTGAGAAGTTGCTTCCTCCTGAGCCAAAGAAACACAAGACCATTGAGATTAAATTTGTATGAGATGGAGTGGATAGTCTGTTTTCCTGACATAGGAATCGTAAGTACTCTATTTTGATGACTGATTTATGATAAAATAAAAATAGTTTAGATCCAATACTAGGAGTACTAATTTTTTTACTCTTTCTTCTCATTTCTTGCTCTATTTTCATATTTTTGATGTATTATGAGTGCAACGTGAGAAACGGTATGTTGCTTGTAGTAGGCATTGGTTGTTTCTTATTAATGCAGTGAAATGCTTGTATTAAAAAAAGCAGTTTTATATACATCCCCCACTTGTTTTATAATAATTTTTGAATTATTGATAGTTTCTATGTAATTTACCCTTTTTTTTAAAAAATTATTTCGAATTATATTATTTAAAAAGTATCAAAAATTAAAGTTCCATGGGGCTTACACTCGGCGCCTCGGGGTTTATGCCCTCGCCCGATGACAGGTAAAACGCCTCGTCTTGCACCCATGCCTTTTAAAACACTGGTGGTGACTGGTGTTTTGGAGCGGTTAACACAAAAATTGTATAAGTGTGGGTGACTCACACCGTGTTTGATCAAAATCTAGTGGGAATATTTGTTACCCAGAGAATTCTTTAGGAAAATGCATTTTTTTTAAAATCCCACTTAAATGAATAAGCCAATTAGTGATCATGGAGGATCTGGAGTCGTTTCGCCATGGGAGATAATAGTAAATTGTGACAGGTGGAGTGATTTTTAGGGCGGGGATGGTGGAGGAAGATAGAATAATAGAGAAAGAAACAAGATAAAGGGAAAAAAGTGGAAGAAAATCGAGTGGTTAAATACAGCACACATGTGCATGTATCTCACCACTTAACACAAATGGGATAAAAGCATGCTTACAATGTTTAGGTGTATAGTTGGAATATCGGAACAAGTTGAGAGGTTTCTTGTGTACTATCCCATTTTTAAATTCATTTGAACAATTGAACTTAAAGCAGTGATGTGAAGTTTCTATGATCGCTCTAGCATGTCAACCAATTAAGATTCTTTTTCCTATACTATTACTTCAAGCAAGTCATGCAAATTAAGTCAAGGGAGGAAGATGTTCTTGCACTAAGCACTTATAGTGTGAGACATCTGGGGAATATCTAATTTTCTTTGTTTGTGAAGTGAAGAGTTGCTATTCTTGATAAATCTTTTGTGGAAGTCTATTGAACCATTACATTGGATTTGTGCTAATCAATGTCATGAAGTGGGTAACTGACGACAAGTCAGCATGTTTTTCCTCGAAGTGATTTTCCATTAACCTCGAATCTAGTTAATTACCCAATTAATGACAAATCAATTTGTGGAAAAACATGTTGACTTGTCGTTAGTCGAATCTTGTTAATTACCCAGTTAAGTGATTCCTCCTCGGTTAGTATTTAGTGACAAGCATATTGGAACGACAGAAACCAGCGATTCTATGAAGGCAAACCTGACTCTATAAAGTAGGAATAAATCAACATGTATACTTTTGCCGATATGTTTGGTGTGAATCAGTTGGAACTACTAACGCAGAGGTCATTTTCCTGTTCGGATACCAGTAGTGGCATTTTGAATTTTCTACTGATTTTACTTCAGTGGATATCCCGGGATAGATCATCATGCTAAATGTTTTTGTACATGTTGTATAGATTAGTATTATGAAGGCCAAACATCTGATCAGAACAAGGAGTGCATGGATTAACAAGGTTACAGTTCTTTTCTATGGGAGTTAATTCCCTTTTATGTGGGTGACTTTCTTCTTATTCACCTTCACTGTTTTGGTGCCACTACATATTCTAATTAACTTCTGTAGTTTCAAATCAATTAGCTTCGGGGTTGGCACCTGCTCTCTTAGTGTTAGGTTGGCATGCGCTAATTTATGTAATCAGAAGGAAAAATAGTGCAGCGCAATGTATTCCAATTTTATTTTGTTGTGCACCATATACTGTCCCCCCTAACAAGGTTTTCAGTGGTTTGGTTGTTGCAGGATTATCGCTGTATCTCTGCACCTCTTCCCTTTTGTTGATATGTCGACTGCTGTATGCTAGATTGACTTTTTGGAGAACTTTTCTCAGTTGACTAACATATGAATGACATTTTCTTTGGTTTTTTGCTCTCTGGTACATATTGTCTCTTAGTGCTGCCACTGTATAAAACTTACCCTTTCTTAAATTGACTAACATATGAATGTTGCTCTTCCTCATCTTTAGTCACTCCGTTGAAGGAGAAGAAATGCACAGGATGATATCCTGCATTAGATGTTCAGCAAGAGGATGCAATTGTTTTCATGTTGCTTTGGTTGAAATTAACGGTATAACTTGCTTATTTTATGATACTACTACTCATGGATTTGACTGCTAATTTCAGCTGGAGAACTTGCACTTGTGTTTTCTGTATCATTTTTGATAGGTTTTTCTGTCCCATATTTGTAGGAGCTCTTACTGTTTTTCATCTTAGCTCAATAACCGGACCTTCTTAATATTATTATTTGGACTTGGTTATAATTGGTGCT